CCCCCCCGCGCTCTCACGCTCCCGCTACTCGGGTTCTCACCAGGTCGGGCCGCACCTCTCGAACCCCAGGGAAGGGCCCCTCGCCACGCCCCGCCACTGCCCGCTACTCCCCGCCACGCCCCGCCACTGCCCGCTAGCTCAGGTGCTCCTCCCCGCGGTGGACTGGGCGGCACCTCGCTCGGACGCGTCGCATCGCCCCTGCCTCGCACTGCTGAGGGAATGCGGTAACGATGCAATTCCCATTCTTGGTCCAAGTAGTTGTTTGATGCGAATAAAAACATATTTTGACTTGAAACCAAAACTTTGTCATATTAACAGTTTTTTGCCTGAGTGAGGAGGAAAGACTTCCTCGACTTCTTTTCAGGTGCTGGTGTGGGGTTAGTTAAACAAGAAACAATAAAAAAGCAGATACCAGGTTACAAAAGTTACAATTGTTCTATATACTTGTTTTCCCCGCTTTTATTATTGTTGCTGAGCCGCCGCCCGACGTCGCGCCGTTGAGTCACCCGGCCCCGCCAGCCGAGCGCATTTGTCCTGTACTGCACCGCGCTTTACGGCCCACGTCAAGCCCGTCACTGACTCCATTCGCCAAAAATATTCCCCGCGACTCAGGTGGACTTCCCCGCCTGCCGATGATTTTGTTGCCAAATTCGCTTCCCGCCCGCGCCTCCACCCTGTATACAGCCGTCGTGGGCAGCCCGTCCCGATAACCTGCAACGACTTCGTCGGAAGTTCCAAGAAAGATAACTTAGTGAAATAAAAAATGGGTTTTTGAAAACAATTTTTTTTGTCAAGAGTTTTGTCTGATATTCCACTCAGAATACAAACATTGGATCAAAAAACATCGCCGAGGGTGAGGAGGTGGCGTTGAGGGAGAGGTCCGCGCGGAGCCCTGAATGTCGTTCTATTTCGACGCGTCTTTGTGTTTGTGACATTGTGATAGTTGGATGCAGACTCCCCGCGCGGTCCCTCCGCCACCGTGTGCCTGCCTGCGCGTGCGTGCGCGTGCGTGCGTGTCTTGTTTTCGTGTGCGCCAGCCGTGCCCTCCCCCGCATCCATTGAATTCTCCCGCCGCATACAACACTGCTCTGCGACTCTCTGTCTCTCTCTGCCCCCCCCCCCCCCCCCCC